ACTCTCTTTGTTGCCCTGAGGATCTCAAATTCTAACATTTCGTGATCACTGCAGCCCAGGCTTCCCTTGAGCTTCATGTTAGCCGCCAGCCCCTCCTTGTTGGTGAGAACAAGGTCCAGCATGGCACCCCGTCTCGTTGGTTCCTCTACCACCTGAAGAAGGAAATTGTCATCACAGAATCACAGAATGTTTGGGGTTGGAAGGGACTACAAAAGATCATCTAGTCCAACCCCCCCTGCCAGAGCAGGACCACCCAGAGCAGGTCACACAGGAACGCATCCAGGCGGGTTTTGAATGTCTCCAGAGAAGGAGACTCCACCACCTCTCTGGGCAGCCTGTTCCAGGGCTCTGTCACCCTCACAGTGAAAACGTTTTTCCTTATGTTACTGTGGAACCTCCTGTGCTCCAGCTTGCACCTGTTGTCCCTTGTCAGTGCATTCCAGGAACCTCCTGGAGTGCTGGTGCCCTGCTGTGCCTTCCTTCCAACAGATATCTGGGTGACTGAAGTCCCCCTTGAGGACCAGGGCTTGTGAACACGAAGCCACTCCTATCTGTCTGGCTTTTTCTGCTCGGTCATCCTGGTCAGGTGGCCTGTAGCAGACCCCCACTATGATATCACCTTCCCCGGCCTTTCCTCTAACCCCGACCCATAAGCTCTCGGTCAACTCCTCATCCATCCCCAGGCCAAGCTCCGTGGACTCCAGCTGGTCCTTGACATAAAGAGCGACACCCCCTCCTCTTCTCCCCTGCCTGTCTTTCCTAAAGAGCCTCTACCCATCTCTTCCTACACTCCAGTCATAGGAGCTGTCTCACCACGTCTCAGTGGTGCCTGAATCAGTAAGGTCTTCTTTCCTCATGCCAAAAGAGAGGCTTAATGCTGGCTTAGTGCTGGGCTTGTGGAGCTTCACAGCTGGGAGGTTTGCATAGTATGGTTAGCTTCTTTAAAATAGTGCTGTTTGGTCTTTGTCATTTTCAAAATACAATAGGAGCTCTAGTCGTTCCCATTCTGTTAAAAATAGTATTTCACACTAGTGTCATTGTCTCCACTAGCATTGCACTTCATTTGGTCCGGAGGAAAACAGGTGAAGTGATCATAGCCACAGCCATGATTATCTTGTGTTAGAGGATGTTGGGACTTTGTGATAAGTAAGGATGATGTAATTAAAGGAGTTGCAGTTGTTTCCTCATTCTAATCTAGGTATAGAAAATATGTATGAAGATACTTTGTGTCACTTGAGATTTCCTTTTTGCTCTTTGATAGTAGATATTTGAAGTACAGGAGGATGCATGATGCATAATTTATATAAATATCTAACAGAAACAAAATGAAATTTTCAGAATATTGGCTTAAACTATACAAAGGAAGGCTAGAAAAAAAAATGTATTCAGGAAATGGAAAGGAACCTGGGAAAATTAGTTACGTTCCAAAAAAGTCCTTGGCACTGGCTTACTCCGTACTCCAATAAAAGGAGCTGATAATTACTTGCTTGGCCACATCAACTTTGAATATGTAATGCTCTTTGCTGTAGTTGACAGCTGAAATATTAGATCAGAGATCAGAGAAAATCCTGTTTTAAATCTCTGCTGTTCTGTGGACAAGTAACAGAAATCTTGTCTTTTGTGAAAAGGCTGGATGAAGATGTGCTAATGGAGGTACTCTAAAACAAGGGATCTCAAATTGTGGTCTGTAAACATTGCCCTAATAGCAAACCATGTCTTGTTGCTTGTTGGTACTGCCTGGCGTAGCACAGCAGTGGCTGCACCCGAAGGGCAGTTAGTTCCAATTCTATTCTGCTTGAAATTTGGCCCTTAAACTTTTTATTAATTAATGCATTTCTTTGCATCTCTTTACTAGAGGTTGCATGCACTATATAGTTTCTCAAGATGCTTCTTTCAAGGAAAATCAAGTTTACAATTAATTGGCTTGAAAACAAAATTATTCTCATACTTCATTCAGTATATTTGAATTTTTATAAGTGATGGTAAAAACCATTCGTTACAATAATTTTATTTGTCTTTCCAGGGTGAAGGCCCTGGCTGGAAAATCTGTCAGGGTCTGTAAAGGCCCTCGGGCTGTCTTTTCTCGAATTCTGCTGCTGTTTTCACTGTCTGAGTCAATGGAGGATGAAGAAGCTGGTAGTGCTGGTCAAGGCCAGCTCTCCACAGTCCTTATGGTAAACATGGGGCGTATGGTATTCCCCAGTTACACTGTAAATAGGAAAACACCGGTCTTCCAGGACAGAGAAGATCTTATCAGGTAGGGGGAGCTTTGTCAGTTTGGAAATCTCTTTATTTCTGGAAAAGCTTTACTGCAGTACTTGTGTAGGCAAATAAGAATTCATCGTGTAGAACTCCAGATGTAAACTTTTGCAGTGATTTTAAATGCAGTTTTGTATCCAGGTGGGACTTGTCATTCACAGTGGCTTGCATTTCGAAACTAGCATGTTTATATGTGTCATGATCATCTGCTAATTAAAGTCTTTTCTTCATTTGCTGTGATGATTATTAAAATGGCCTCTGGACAAAACAAAAAATACATTCTCTAGTTTGTAAGAAATTTTAAACAACATGTACCCTGCTACTGTAAACTGCTGATCCTTCAAGATTAAGAAATAATGTTGGCTGCATGGTTCGATGTCTTTGGAGACTGAAAGGGAGTTTTTTGAAGTTATCGTATGGAGAGATGTATTTCTATTAACTATACATGCTTTTTGAGCCTAATACTATTATTGTGGGTTTTTTTTCCCCTTAGGTATGCAACTGCTGCTCATTTATCAAATGATATAGCCACTGCAATGGTAAATGGGAACTGGGAAGAAGCTAATCATCTATATACATATGCTAAAGAAACCTGGAACAAACTGAAAAATCACCCCTCTTTGAGGTAGTAAACTGGAAACTAGCCCTCGTGTTCAAACGCAGCTATGAAGTGTATTATCTTACTTTTGGTACTTTTCCTTTTGAGAGAGGCTTATAGACTAGTGATATTATTTAAGCCTGATAAATTTAGAAGTTTTGATGTTTTTGAAAACTTTGAACTTTCTGTTGTTTAGCTTTTCAGTGATTATATGAAAAGGCCTTTTTTATAAAACCTTGGGAATTAATTGGTAGGCATGGATAAAGTACTAAACCATTTCTGTTCTGTGTGCCAATGCAGGAAGACAAGAGCCTTATTTTTCCCTTGTTGTAGTTTGTTTTTAGGATTTTTAGACAAATAGCAATAAGCAGAATTTAAAATTCACTGTGAACAAAAGAATGTTGCAAATGTTAGGGGAAAACATACTGGGTTATTCGCTGCTTCAGACTTCCAAGTGGGTATCATTCAAAAACGTTGCTAAAGATCTGAGAACTGCAGTAACGTGTATTGGTTATGAAGCGTCTTTCATCAGTGTTTCTTTCCATTGTTTTGTTTTCTGGCTTAATGATACGCAGAAAGGTGAAGGCTTATGTTTGGCATTATGTTCATTTTCATAGAATCATAGAATCCTTAGGTTGGAAAAGACCTCTGAGATCATCAAGTCCAACCGTCAACCCAACACAGCCATGCCCACTAATCCATGTACCGAAGTGCCACGTTTATAGAATCATAGAAAGGGCATCTGATTTAAAATAATATTCATGGAGCATCATTTGGAGGTCAATTCCATTTCACACTGAAGACAGTGGAAAAACCTATTTTGATTTCAATAAGACATTCAAAAGACTTTGTCTTGAAACCTAGAGGTGCCTACCCAAAAGGTGTTAGTCTTTTGTGGCAGGAAATGCCTGTTGTAGCCTTTTTCTTTTGCTCAGCTGTGTTTCTAAAATTAACTTATGAAAACAAGTTGGCAGTAACAAAATGTGATGTAATAAATTACTGTTTTGCATCTGATGTAAAATTAGTAACTAATAATTCCACTATTGTTGAAACCAAAATGTACTGTGTGAGTGTAGCTTGCACCTGCTACCTCAGCTAAACTGTTTTCTTACTTCTGGGTTCTTGACTTTGCAGCTGGAATACTCACTTCAGTTCAACTTTGATATATAAAGCATTTAATTTTTCTGAATGCTTGAGTTATAAGTATTCTTAGTAAGAGAATTCTAAGAATGTCAATTGCCATCATTAAATTGATCTGAGCTGCTCTTATCTTTCAGCTATCATAGAGCGTTACCTGAGTATCTGCGACATTTCACAGTTGGCTGGGTGTATACAAGAATCTTTTCTCAAGGTGTTGAAATTTTGCAGAGACTTCACATGTATAAGGTAAAGTGACAAAGTGAATAGGAATACGTGTTTAACGTAGCATTGTACTTCAATTTACATTTCTCACATGGCTAGAAAATGGTGATAGTGTTTGCCAGGACTCGCTACAGTTCTCTTAATGGGAAAAAGAGCCTTTTTTTCTCTTGCCACTTTAGAAAATTTTACATTGTTTTGATTTTGGTTTATGCTTTGGAGTTTTACCTTGTGTGATATACCATAAGACTGTTTCTGGGACATTGTTGCTTCGTTTTTTAAAGATACTTGTGTTTCAGTAGGTTTGGTTTCTGCTTTTAAATAAGAAAATCTTAGAAGAAAAGTCTTCTATGAAATTGTTGCCTCTTCACCTTAGGAGCTAACATCTCCAGAGGCCTCTGACTTACATGTTAGAGCAAACCAGTTATTCTGAAAAAGACTTTGCCTCTGCAAAAAGGTAACAAATAATATTCAGGTCTTTCTTATACACAATAAGGAATACAGAAAGGACAAAAAAGTATTGTATTTTGGCAGCTGACCTTTAAGTTTACATAAAAATATTCTAGACTTTTTAAGATACACCCATGCACTTGAATACATTGGGTGCTGGAGTAAAAATGGCCTTTGAATTCTGCAGAGCCAAAGTTTTGTAGTACCCAGTAATTAGAAGGGAAAGTGACAAGCTAATTATATAATGAAATTGCAAATTGGTTTTCTAACTCAATTGATAAAGATATAATCCTGTTGCTACAGGAAGCGGTGCAGGAGCTGCAGACTCTTCTGTCTCAGGATGTGTATTGTACTGACAGCAGAGGGCGATGGTGGGATCGCCTAGCTCTGAATTTACATCAGCACTTGAAAAACACTAAGAAGGTATTTTCACAACTGCATGCTCTAAAGCAGGAAACACTGCAGTCATTGTCGGAAACCATTTAAAAATATTTCATATGAGAAGAACAGCGGGGTAGGCTCTCCTAAAAATGCAGATATTGGTAGGAATCCCAAGGTCAGGCAGCTAGTTTCTCCTAAGAAATTGAATATTGAGTGTACCCTCATCCTTGGTTGGCCTGCTTTTTTCTGTTGCATAGAAGAACACCTTTTCGAGTGAAGGATTGTATGGAGTTATCAGGCAGCAGCTTCCTTGCTGTTCTGCCTTATAAATTTGCCTAATGTGTGAGATGCAGAGAAATTTCTTGTGGTAAACACTTCTGCTTCTGAACCTGAGTCATGATGAGGCCATATCTGGAATGAAAAAAAGAAACATGATTGGAAGGACGTCTTTTAATGTTTTCAAACAAACAATTAAGTCCTTGACTGACTGTTGCCAGTGGGGAGAAGGTTGTCTTCTGTATCTGTATATTGGTGTGGGGTTTCTACTGTAAGGGCTTAAGCGGTAGACAACGCCATTTCTAGTCTGTTACTTGTACACAGCTCTGGCAGGGGTATCAGTGTTTAACAGCAAATTTAAACTATGTCCATAGTGCTACAGGAGAAACCTTAACTGACTACCGTTAGACTGATAAAGAATAATGTTAATGGTTTTAGATAGCATGTAATACAGCCTGTGTTCATCCTGATCTGTCTAATTCTGTTAGGAGGATAGAGGAGGGGACAAGAAGTTTTGAGGTAATCTTAGCTTTTGCTGAAACTTTGCCCTCTTCCCTTCTGGTAGGACACACACCCCAGCAGGTGTGTTTGTACCAGCAAAACATGTTATTTGTGCAATGGGTAAATTTGCCAGTCTCAAGTCTGATTGATGCAGTTTGGGCTTTTAGAAACACTGTGTACATGGTGAGTGGTCTTTGAGTTTCCTAAGTGATTAGCTGGCATGTAGCCCAATGAGAGAAAAATAACCATTTGGGTATGGCAGGTGTTGTGTGCAGGGATTATTATAAATCTCTGTGCAACTTTCTGGCATCTCTGGAAAGGTTCCTGCAGCAGAATATAAAGGAACCAGAGAAAACTGCAAGCTGCGGTACAGGTTGTGCCTTTGAATTCCTTGTGAGCCAGCACCAGTGTTTCACAGACTTTCTTTTCAAGAGCCACAAGGCATAGAAGCCACTGTCTGACTCATTTTAGGGCTCAGTTGCAGTTCCATGAGTTTTCTGTGCCAGAAACAGCAGGTGATGGTTCTATCAGCTGCTGGTCTGAGGATTTATAAGTACAGGAGATTATGCCCGTTTTTCCTGTCTGTTACATACAAAGGAGAAATACTGTCAGTGATTGAAAATTAAACTCTGTAGGTCACAGTGAAGTCTGGGCAGACTGAAAATTAACTTTTAACTAAAAGACAAAGAAGACCTATCTAATTAAACACACCTAAGATACCTGACTAGTTTGGCAATGAAAAATAGGCCTTAAAAAAAGTTTTACGTTCAGGAACAGTTGCAGTTGTAGAGTTATTTACAATTATCAGAGAATGCCTTTTTTTGTCCTTGGTATTGTTTCCTTGCTCACTAAGGCTGTTGAGAACTGGGATTAAAATGCTTGTATTTTGTGTTGCATTTTAATTCTCTAAGTCCTGTTTAAAGGAAATAATAATCATAGGGTGTCAAGTGTCTGCTGTTGCCTCTTCTGCATCTTATACCCCCATATCAAGCTTTTTCCAGATTTGGAGTTAGAAGTTGTACAAAGGAAGAATTAGTCTCAGTTCCTTATTTATAAATTAGGACCAAGTGCCTTCCTCTAGTCACAGAAAGAGAGCATTTCAGAACCATGATCTGAATTAATTTTTGGAGTCCATATTTAACCCTGGGTGTTCTTCAGTGCAGGAGTGCAGTAGTCTAAAATGTGTTCTGTATGTACATTCTTTCACAACTGATGTGGGCCTTCTGTTTCCATATTACACGCTGTTAAGGATGTCTTAAAAATATTAAACTGATTTACCTTAGAACAAACTCTTTTTTTCTGGTCACTTAGTAGAATTTACCCTTCCTTAATCTTACATTGATCAGTACAAATGGAGAGTAGTTTCTTTTTACTCTACTAGTGCAAATTTGAGTCCAGAAGCCTACTAGTGCAAAATACTACTTACTAGTTAGAGCTTCAGTACATAAGTAAGACAGGTGGCCCTGTCTTACATGCTGCTTTTTGCATTCACATTTTTCTGCTCCTTAAATCACTTGGGCTCAGTGAGAACAGACAGATATGCATAGGTCTTTCTAATTTATTGCTTGTGACCTTGCTCTTTGATAGGCCATTGACTGCATTAGAAAGGGGCTGGCAGACCCATTTGTACGTACTGGGCATCGTCTCTCTCTCTACCAGCGGGCCCTACGGATCAGAGACTCGCCAAGCTGCAGGCAGTTCAGGTGCCTGTTTCATGACCTGCCAGTCATAACTGTGGAGGACGTGACACATGTAAGTAAAGTTGCAAGTGGTTTCCGAGAAATACCAACTCATGAGATCTCGTTTCTTCTGACAAGAAAAAATAATCTGGGAGACTGCTGTTATGTGCTGTGCACCAGCCTCTGACTTTGTGCTGCAGGAAAATGAATACGAATGTGTTTCTAAAACAACAGCCTCTTGGAAACAAATATTTCTCATTTAATAAATAGCTGCATAGCTGAAGTTACTCAGCTGTAGGCTGATTTAATATACATTGCTATGAACTCTGCTAATTTACCAGCAGCACTCTCAGAACCTTTCTGTCTGAAGAGTCTGATCAAATCAGTGGCTTGCCTCTGGTGTCTTCAGGCCACACGTTTGTGTGTAAGAAGAAGTAATAATAGTAACCTTAGCGTGTTGTCAGCATTAGATTAATGGCTCAAAAAAATGCAAGGTTTTTTTAGTAACCTTCGGGAGTTACGCACTCTAAATATGTGCTATGCCAATCTGCAATATGCTCCACTTAGATCATATTGGAATGGATTTTTTTTAACTCATTCTTTTCCCTACTGTTGCGAACAGAATTGTATCTGGGCAAAGTCAGAGCAGAGTCTCGCATTCTCTCTCGGCCTCGTCACCACATATCTCCCTGGAGCCCTTCTTTTTCTCAGTCCAGACTCAGTCTCCTCAGTCACCTGTATTCTTTCTTCCTGGTCCTGCATATAGAAAGAATTCATTCCCATCTGCCCAGCATTATTGCTAGACATTTTTTTTCTGAAAAATTTTCCAGTTTATAAAAGCTAAACAGAATGATTTCAAGGGAATGGCAGGTTAAATTTTATTCAGGTGATTTTTGGAAACAAGTCTAGTTCTGATTTTAAGAACACTGAAGAGAAAGAATGTGGTTTTTAGGAGAGATTCAAATACCTAGGCTAAAGCTTTCTAAATGTGATGCTGGAAAGTAACTAGTTCTTTAACGTCTTTAGGTTACAATCAAAGGAAAGATGTGTCCTCAGATGGGAATGGGAAAATCCGTATTTCTGATGGAGGATATTGGTGATGAAGAAGGAGGTGAAGACGTCAGTGTCTCCACAGTCATGTGCTCAGTTGAGGAGCTGGCGTTAACTCATTACAGGCAGAATGGTTTTGATCAGGGTAACGGCAACTTTTTTTTTTTCTGTACCATAAACTAACTGTGGGAGTAAAGAACCAATTTATTAAGCAGTTTAATTCGTAGAACAGTTTTAGCTGATTTCATTAGACCACTTTTCAGTTTGATTCTGTTTCCTTCCCAGACAGCTCCACCATATAATTTCCTTACCAAAGTACTCTTAATATGTATTTTCCGCCTGACCTGCTTCCTGGCCTTTAATTATTTGCTGCCTTCGTATACCTAAGGTGGTTTTGAAATGTGTTCAGAAAAAAACCAATGTTTCTCCTCTCTCTCCATAGGAAATCACTCACTTTGCCTTTCTTACTAGCAAACAGCTATTTTCTTTGTTAAGGGTAAAATGCTAGCAGTGTCATTTATGGGAGTGTCATTAAGGAAAGGTAAACTTCCACTGATTTTCGGTAGTAGATGAACCTGAAATCAGTGTATACCATAGCAGGACACCTGGCAGCTTCTTTTGAAAAGGCTTTATTTTCAGCTCTTTTAGTAGTTGTTCATATATTTTTACAACTTAAGAGCTGTGCAAAGCCATGGACAAATCACCATATATAGCTCTGTTTTACAGGAAGAAAGCAAAATACAAAAAGGCAGGCAGGTTATATTTTTATATAAAATATATATTTTAATATGATTTTCTATTATTGATATGTTCCCAAATATTGGTGCAGGAAAAGTGGCCTTGTCAGACAAGGATAAATGGGAAGGTGACAATAGTTAGAATTTGGGAGAATTATGCTCAAGTCCCCACCCGATTCCTCGCTCCCGACCACTCACCCTCAGGCTTGGCGCAGTGGCTCAGCACAGATTTGAGCACGCGGTGGCCAGGCGTGATTTAGCGGGAAGCCTGCCGAAGCGGAACGCTCTGGCCAGCGCCACACACGGGTGCTAATGCGTGCACATGCGCAGTCTCTCCCTCCCTCCCCCCCCATACTATGTGTTCTATAGAACATACGGCATATATTCCATTCTCTACATGTATTCTATGTAACATTACATAGGATATGTATAATACATTATACTAATAGGCTAATAACAGCATATCCACCACAGCATGGTTGAGGTTGGCAGGTCCAAACCCCTGCTTGAGCAGGGCCGCAGAGCGCCAACTGCCCAGGACCATGACCAGCTTTCGAGTAGCTCCGAGGATGGAGATGCCACCAGCTCTCCGGGCAACCTGGGCCAACGCTCCATCATCCTCGCAGTGCACAAGTGCTTCCTGCTGTTCCTGTGGCTCTAGCTGTGGCCACAGATACACATGTGTCCCTCTGGTCACATATGTGTATATGTTCATACATGTGTATGGACACATAAATGTATGGACATATGTGTATGTGAGCATAGGGAGAGACATATCTGTATGAACATCTGTGTAGATATAGGAACGTCAGGAAACTTTTTTATTATGAGGGTAACTGAGGACTGGCACAGGTTGCCCAGAGAGGTTGTGAAGTGTGTGTGCGTATATATGGTCATATCAACACACTTCTATATGTACGTTCACATATAGATGTACACATACATGTATGTACGTGTGTCCATACATGTGTTAAATATGATTTAGATAATATATTTTCTAAATATTCCACTATAATACACAATTATGTATTATAAATATATATACAATAAATATAACAACTATATATTATATATTATACAATATGCGAGATCTAATTATATACTATAAATACATATTATGTTTTTACTATATTATATATTATTATCAATATTATACTAATATAGTAATACAGAACATATCTAACGTATAACACGATACAAGATATAATGTGTATTAACTAATTCATATATGAATATATAGTGATGTAGGGCATATATCTTGTAATAGTATAATAATATAGAACATATGTAAATTTAGATACATGTACAATTATATGCTATAAATATATACAACTCTATAATTACTTATGGAATATTTAAATAGTTACATTATTATGGTATACTTTATTATGTACTATATACTATATGTTACATATTAGCTATTATTACTATATCATATGTGACATATCATAAATATGTTTTTATACGTATATGTAGTATATATAGCATATATGATCTATACATTCCTGTACTGGACGTGGCTGGGTGGAGTTAATTTTCTTCACGGCAGCCCACGTGCCGCTGCGGGTGAGGTCGGTGAGCAGCAGCAGGTGCTGCCAGGGGGTGCTCGCACAGCACCCAGGCTTCCTCCGTTCTCCTGGGGGAGAGCGGCGGGGGG